TCTCTGCCCTGCCCGTAGCCCTCCAAGATGACAAGGGCTGCTGTAAGTCATCTCAGCCCAGAAGTGGGGTGGAGGCTGGAGCAGATGGCTGTGAGTTCTGAGTTCTCATCCGCCATGTTCAGCTGTGGCTTTAAGCTCTTGCTCAGCTTCCCTGAGTCCATTGCTCTGCTGTGAAGACCCTTGGCGTTACAGGAGACAGTGCCTTGGCACCATAGTGCCCTGCATATAGAAGGTGCTTAATAAATGGCGGCGGCCGCATTCCGATTTCTACCGTCATTTTACCAAAGCAGCGTAGCTGTACATTGTCCTGTTGCTGCAGCCCTCATCTCCTCGTGAGTCCTCCCTCCCTCCCCGTACCTGGCGTTTAAGTGGCATCACACAGGGCCACACACATCAGCTGGGAAAGGGTTTTCTTCTCTTGGGATGAAAAGATAACACAGAGAAGTTAATAGATGCCAGGTACTATTCCAGCTCGGGTAAAATTCAAAACCCCTCTATGAAGTAGGAGTTACTTAATAATTAATCAACATTAGTTATTTCATTAATCATTAACCAACTGAAAAAGAATAGTGTTGAATAATCCAGAAGAAGAACATGGAGCCCAGAGAGGTTAAGTAATGACTCTGAGGTCACACAGCAAGCCAGCGTCAGAGCTGGGATTAGAGCCCAGGTGCTCAGTCTCTTCAGTGGCTTTTGCTAACCGGAAACACTGGAAGCACCTGTCCCCCAGCCTCCCTGGTCAGCCCTGATGGAAGCGTGGAGAGCTCCAGGAGCTGGGAGGAGGCCCAGGTGGCTGTAGAGGGAGTGCTGGGGACAGCGTGGGACTGAGCTCTGAGAGGCCATGAGGGCGGCGGTTTGAGGATTTGGCATCTGTGCCGAGTGACCTGTCGTGGGGACAGGGACACAGTGGGGCAAGGTGCCTGCTTACATTCTGGCGGGGAGGAGCAGACAGCAGGGAGGGGAGCCGGCCAGTGTGTTGGGAACGGGGGTGCTCGGCACCCAACCCCAGGGCTCTGAGGACTGCTGACCCCACACCGACACAGTTGGTGTATTTGGATGAGGTCTGTCCCTCCCTGGAGAATGTGAGCTCCAAGAGAGCAGGGTTTGGTTTTGCGTGGCTGTAGCCGTCAGGACCCAGCAGGGTGCCTGGCCGAAAACAAGTGCTTGGTAAATATTTGTTGAGTGAGTGAGTTCCCCTTGTGGAATGTGGCTGAAATCTCCTTCTGTCAGTTGAGGCTGGTGTTCCGGTGCAGGAAATGGCTGCTCCTCTAAGTCCAGGATGGCCGTTGTCATTTGGGTGCTTCCGCCCACCCGGTACCACACTCCACTCTTCCTGTTCATCGATCTGCCTTCACACACTGCCCCTGCTCTTGGGGTGTTCTCTCATGAAGACACAGTCGTCCTGTTCCACGTCCCAGCTTCTTGGCACCTAGTAGGTGCTTCATAAATGTCAGTCCGATGAATGAATATACAGAAGAAGCAGTGAAGGAGCAAAGGGAGTGGAGATAATCCTCTCTGGAGCTGGAAGCCCCACACAGAGGACCTCATGAGGGTCTGCAGAGACCAGCCGTCCTCACGACCTCCAGGACCCTCACGGGAAAACCTGACTGCAGAGGAGAGCTGCACCACAGCCAGGTGGCAGCCAGGGTTTGAGGAAGAATTTCCAAAGCTGCTCAGGAGCTCAGAGAATCCCCGGCGTCTCCCAGGCTGCCTGTGTGTGGTTTGTCTGTCTTGGTGGCTTGTTCCCATCCTCATAAAAACACCCTGTGATGTTTGCACTCATGGTGAACTGGTGTGGGGGAAGGGGAAGCTGAGGCTGTTGGAAAGACGTGGTTAGAATTGGCGAGGCCCAAGTAGACAGACAGCCCAGCGGGGCAGGAGATCAGCGTGGAGGTGGATCTCAGACGGCCCCGGCGGGGCAGGAGAGGGTGTGTCCAGGCGGATCTCAGGAGGGCTTCAGAGCAAACACCCAGGGCTCCTTCCCAGGAGGGCCAGGCCTGTCCAGGCTCAGGACTGAGTGCACGTGGGGTGATACAGGGACGGTGTTTCCCGGGGATCCACCCAGCCCCAGCATGAGCTGGCAGAGGTCGCTGGCTGGGCCCCCCCAGGTTTCAGGGGGTTTTGTTCATGTCTTGGGGAATTCCATTTTCTCAGTATCCTGGGTTCGCGTGAGCGTTCCCGTGGCAACATCCACACCCCCCCCAGTTGTCTGCGGGGGTGCAGGGTAATGACAGCTTCCGAGTTCACTGGGAGCTTCTTCTGGAGACAGCAGAGGGGAGGCTGAGGCTTTTCAGCTTAAAACTGTGGATAAAGGCCAGGTGTCGTGGCTCAGGCCTGTAATCCCAGCTCTTAGGGATGCCGAGGCGGGCGGATCACAAGGTGGAGAGAGCGAGACCATCCTGACCAACATGATGAAACCTCATCTCTACTAAAAATACAAAAATTAGCCAGGCGTGGTGGCGCGAGCCTGTAGTCCCAGCTACTCGGGAGGCTGAGGCAGGAGAATTGCCTGAACCCAGGAGGCGGAGGTTGCGGTGAGCCGAGATCATACCACTGTACTCCAGCCTGGCGACGGAGCGAGACTCTATCTCAAAAAAACAAAACAGAAGAAAAAACTGCAGATGAACCAGCACATGAGGTCGTCGTGCCTGAGACATGGGCCCGGAGGAAGACTTTACCTTTTAAACACAGGCAGAATATTCCAGCAACCACAGCGCTTTGCAAAGTGGAAGGTGGAGACCTTCGCCCTCCTCAGTTAAAGTGGTTCAGTTTCAAGGTATTTCCCAGAAGAAAGGAGCTTACAGCGGCCGCCGGCAGGAAAGTCAACCTTTGGGAAGTTGGCAAGAAGAATGTCATCAGCCTCTGCCTCCTCCCACGGGCCCCCACCTGCCTCCCTCTGAGCCTGGGTGTCTCCCGGCCTCCTGGCTGCCAGTCTCAGCAGGGATGCCCTCACCTTCCCAGCCAGGCTTCTCTTTCCTGCTCAGGCTGAGTCTGTAGTGGCCTCAGGAAACTACATCCATCGTTAACCTTCTCTTGGACGCATGCATCCGACCTCATGACGTGCGAAGGCTACAGGCCTTTGTGGCTCCAAAACCAAATAAAAGTGAGTAAAATGTGGCTGGGCACGGCTGCTCACATCTGTAATCCCGGCACTTTGGGAGGCTGAGGTAGGCGAATAACCTGAGGTCGGGAGTTACAGACCAGCCTGACCAACCTGGCAAAACCCCATCTCTACTGAAAATAAAAAAAATTCGCCAGGTGTGGTGGCGAGTGCCTGTCATCCCAGCTACTCAGGAGGCTGAAGCAGCAGAATCGACTGAGCCCAGGAGGTGGAAGTTGTACTGAGCCAAGATCCTGCCACTGCACTCTAGTCTGGGCGACAGAGCAAGACTCCGTTTAAAAAAAAAAAAGAAAAAAGAAAAAGAAAGATGAGTAAAAGACTAAAAAATCGATAGAATTGTAAAATAAAAAAAATATAAAAAACAAATGACCAACCAGCTCCAGCCAGGGGAGGAAGGTGTTGTCCCCATGCCCGGCTGTGCCAAGGCACCTGCTCGCTGTAGGACCTGGGTCATCTACAGCCCTCGGCTGTCAGGGGTGCAGGGGGCAGGTCTGTGGGGCAGTGACTGTCGGGGGTATGTGCCATTGGAGGGGGCAGCTCCCACCCCCTTCTCAGTCCTTTCCTGGAGGCATGTGTGGCCAACTCTTCCCATTTTGGAAGGAGTATGGACTTTTATATAGAAGACTCAGATTTTAAAATGTTGACCATGAGGTTACCACATATATACATGAGAGGAAAGGACAGTGAAATCCCAGCATGTTGCCCAGCATGGGTGCATGGTTGTCCAAGCGCCCAGGAGCGGCTCGGGGCCCTGGGAAGTGTTTTCGGTGATGGTTCCCAGTGTGACCATCTACCCTGTCCAGCCCCCAGGAGCGGCTCAGGGCCCTGGGAAGTGTTTTCGGTGATGGTTCCCAGTGTGACCTTTGCCTATGCTGTGGCCTTTTCTACCCGATGCCATTTCCCGTGGGTTTCCTCCTGCAGGACCACCAGGGTTCATGGCTGGTCACTGCTCTGTGCCTCGTGGGTCTGCGGGCCCTGTCCTCACTGTCAGGATCCTGATGGTGCCTCTGGGCCAGTGAGACCTGTTCAGAGGGTAGGGAAGGACACTCAGAGGGTGAATAGGTGAGAGTCGAACCCAGGCACTGGGGATTGAGTGCTGTCCCTCCAAGCAGGACAGACAGATTGTCAGGAGGAGGGGACAGAGCCAGGAATACGGCTCCTTTGCTCCGCTCCAGAAAATGGGCCTGGCTGACGGGGGCCCCCTTTTGACCTTCCCAGAGGGGTAAGTGAAGGAATCTGGACTCCTGGGTCTGAGTGCCCTTGTCCACTGGAGTCAGCAGTCAGGGCCAGAGCCTGAGGTTCGGAAGCTCCCTTGAGGGTTGGACTCTGGGTTTGCATTCTGAACAGGTATTCACTCTCCAGCTGTGTGATGGGCAGCAATCCTGTGCCTCAGTTTCCCTGTCTGTAGGAGGCTACTTCTGGAACCTGCCTCTAGGCTGATGATGGGGATGATATGACTTAAATGCAGACACAAGCTTGTACCAGTTCTGGGCACATGGGACAACATGGACAAGGCTTTGCTGCTATTGACAAACTACCTGGGCCAAAAAGGCAGAGGATGGAGATTACATTTTTCAAAACAAGCTAAAAGAGGAAGTCACCTTTGCATGAGAACAGAGCTCTGCTCAAGTGCTTGCTGGGTTTGGAGCCCGAGGAGGAGGAGCAGGTGCAGGGCTTGTTTCCATCAGGGCTCCCTGCCGGGACGGCCGCCTCGGGAGGAGCCCCGTTGTCAGCACAGAGGAGGGGGCTGCCCCGCAGGGCCACTGGGGCTGCTCGGGAGTGACAGGGCTAAGTCGGAGCCTGCTTGGTGCATGGTCTAGGGTGCATGCTTGTGGGCGCAGGCTGCCCTGCTCAGCCGGGCCTCTCCTTGTCCCCGCAGCATATGCGAGAGGCGGCTGAACGTCGGCAGCAGCTGGAGTTGGAGCATGAGCAGGCCCTGGCTGTTCTCAGCGCCAAGCAGCAGGAAATTGACCTTCTGCAGAAGGTAAGTGGCGGGCAGCCAGGCAGGCGTGGTGTGCGAGGCGGGGGTCTGGGGGTGGGCTGGGGACCCCTGGTGTCGGGGAGCGGCTGACCTGCAGCCTCTGCTCCCAGGCCTCTCCCGCTCTGTCCTCGCGCAGAAAAATTCAGACTCATTTCTGCTTTCCTGCTCTGCTATTTCTTCAGCAGACCTGTGTTCACGGTTTATAACGCAAAAACAGATGCAAAGCTCTAACATCTGATGCTGCTGAGGTTGTAGGGAAAAGAACATGCGTAGAGATGGCTGGCAGGGTGCGCATTGCTTCCGCTTCTGGAGAAAGCAATGTGCAGCCTTCGTTAAAACTAAAGGTGCACGTAGAGGGTGACCCGGCGCCCCCATCCTGGACGATGCCCTGCAGGGAAGATGGGCAAAACGAGCTTTGTTTTCTTGTAGTGCGGCTTTGTGGCAGTGGGGAGGGGGACTGTGATGTCCACCTAAGGATGATGGCTGTGGGCACCGTGGCTCATCCACGCCAGGGGCCACCCCATGTCAGGGAAAGGGAGTGCGGAGGTTTGATTCTGCCGTTTTGAGGCTGTTTGCATGACGTGTTATCAAGTGAACTCACTGAGTCACCGAGCAATATTCATAGCGTGATCCCAGTAAGAAAGGAAAAGAAATCAGGGAAGGAAGAAGAGAGAGCACCAGGGAAGGGGGGCAGGAAGGAGAGAGCACCAGGGAAGGGGGGCAGGAAGGAGAGAGCACCAGGGAAGGGGGAAGGAAGGAGAGCACCAGGGAAGGTGGTCAGGAAGTAGAGAGCACTAGGGAAGGGGGGCAGGAAGGAGAGAGCACCAGGGAAGGGGGACAGGAAGGAGAGAGCACCAGGGAAGGGGGAAGGAAGGAGAGAGCACCAGGGAAGGGGGACAGGAAGGAGAGAGCACTAGGGAAGGGGGACAGGAAGGAGAGAGCACCAGGGAAGGGGGACAGGAAGGAGAGAGCACCAGGGAAGGGGGGCAGGAAGGAGAGAGCACCAGGGAAGGGGGCAGGAAGGAGAGAGCACCAGGGAAGGGGGGCAGGAAGGAGAGAGCACCAGGGAAGGGGGGGCAGGAAGGAGAGAGCACCAGGGAAGGGGGCAGGAAGGAGAGAGCACCAGGGAAGGGGGGAAGGAAGGAGAGAGCACCAGGGAAGGGGAGCGAAGGAGAGAGCACCAGGGAAGGAGGACAGGAAGGAGAGAGCACCAGGGAAGGGGAGCAGGAAGGAGAGGGGAGCAGGAAGGAGAGAGCACCAGGGAAGGGGGGCAGGAAGGAGAGAGCACCAGGGAAGGGGGAAGGAAAGGAGAGAGCACCAGGGAAGGGGGAAGGAAGGAGAGAGCACTAGGGAAGGAGGGAAGGAAGGGAGAGCACCAGGGAAGGGGGAAGGAAGGAGAGAGCAACCAGGGAAGGGGGGCAGGCAGGAGAGAGCACCAGGGAAGGGAGGAAGGAAGGAGAGAGCACCAGGGAAGGGGGACAGGAAGGAGAGAGCACCAGGGAAGGGGGAGGAAGGAGAGAGCACCAGGGAAGGGGGCAGGAAGGAGAGAGCACCAGGGAAGGGGGAAGGAAGGAGAGAGCACCAGGGAAGGGGGGCAGGAAGGAGAGAGCACCAGGGAAGGGGGAAGGAAGGAGAGAGCACCAGGGAAGGGGGAAGGAAGGAGAGAGCACTAGGGAAGGGAGGAAGGAAGGAGAGCACCAGGGAAGGGGGGAAGGAAGGAGAGAGCACCAGGGAAGGGGGGCAGGCAGGAGAGAGCACCAGGGAAGGGAGGAAGGAAGGAGAGAGCACCAGGGAAGGGGGACAGGAAGGAGAGAGCACCAGGGAAGGGGGAAGGAAGGAGAGAGCACCAGGGAAGGAGGAAGGAAGGAGAGAGCACCAGGGAAGGGGGAAGGAAGGAGAGAGCACCAGGGAAGGGGGAAGGAAGGAGAGAGCACCAGGGAAGGGGGAAGGAAGGAGAGAGCACCAGGGAAGGGGGAAGGAAGGAGAGAGCACCAGGGAAGGGAGGAAGGAAGGAGAGAGCACCAGGGAAGGGGGAAGGAAGGAGAGAGCACCAGGGAAGGGGGAAGGAAGGAGAGAGCACCAGGGAAGGGGGGAAGGAAGGAGAGAGCACCAGGGAAGGGGGACAGGAAGGAGAGAGCACCAGGGAAGGGGGGCAGGAAGGAGAGAGCACCAGGGAAGGGGGGAAGGAAGGAGAGAGCACCAGGGAAGGGGGACAGGAAGGAGAGAGCACCAGGGAAGGGGGGAAGGAAGGAGAGAGGCACCAGGGAAGGGAGGAAGGAAGGAGAGAGCACCAGGGAAGGGAGGAAGTAAGGAGAGAGCACCAGGGAAGGGGGGCAGGAAGGAGAGAGCACCAGGGAAGGGGGGAAGGAAGGAGAGAGCACCAGGGAAGGGGGAAGGAAGGAGAGAGCACCAGGGAAGGGGGGACAGGAAGGAGAGAGCACCAGGGAAGGGGGAAGGAAGGAGAGAGCACCAGGGAAGGGGAGCAGGAAGGAGAGAGCACCAGGGAAGGGGGGCAGGAAGGAGAGAGCACCAGGGAAGGGGGACAGGAAGGAGAGAGCACCAGGGAAGGGGGGCAGGAAGGAGAGAGCACCAGGGAAGGGGAGCAGGAAGGAGAGAGCACCAGGGAAGGGGGGCAGGAAGGAGAGAGCACCAGGGAAGGGGGACAGGAAGGAGAGAGCACCAGGGAAGGGGGAAGGAAGGAGAGAGCACCAGGGAAGGGGGAAGGAAGGAGAGAGCACTAGGGAAGGGGAGGAAGGAAGGAGAGCACCAGGGAAGGGGGAAGGAAGGAGAGAGCACCAGGGAAGGGGGGCAGGCAGGAGAGAGCACCAGGGAAGGGAGGAAGGAAGGAGAGAGCACCAGGGAAGGGGGACAGGAAGGAGAGAGCACCAGGGAAGGGGGAAGGAAGGAGAGAGCACCAGGGAAGGAGGAAGGAAGGAGAGAGCACCAGGGAAGGGGGAAGGAAGGAGAGAGCACCAGGGAAGGGGGAAGGAAGGAGAGAGCACCAGGGAAGGGGGAAGGAAGGAGAGAGCACCAGGGAAGGGGGAAGGAAGGAGAGAGCACCAGGGAAGGGAGGAAGGAAGGAGAGAGCACCAGGGAAGGGGGAAGGAAGGAGAGAGCACCAGGGAAGGGGGAAGGAAGGAGAGAGCACCAGGGAAGGGGGAAGGAAGGAGAGAGCACCAGGGAAGGGGGACAGGAAGGAGAGAGCACCAGGGAAGGGGGGCAGGAAGGAGAGAGCACCAGGGAAGGGGGGAAGGAAGGAGAGAGCACCAGGGAAGGGGGACAGGAAGGAGAGAGCACCAGGGAAGGGGGGAAGGAAGGAGAGAGGCACCAGGGAAGGGAGGAAGGAAGGAGAGAGCACCAGGGAAGGGAGGAAGTAAGGAGAGAGCACCAGGGAAGGGGGGCAGGAAGGAGAGAGCACCAGGGAAGGGGGGAAGGAAGGAGAGAGCACCAGGGAAGGGGGAAGGAAGGAGAGAGCACCAGGGAAGGGGGACAGGAAGGAGAGAGCACCAGGGAAGGGGGAAGGAAGGAGAGAGCACCAGGGAAGGGGAGCAGGAAGGAGAGAGCACCAGGGAAGGGGGGCAGGAAGGAGAGAGCACCAGGGAAGGGGGACAGGAAGGAGAGAGCACCAGGGAAGGGGGCAGGAAGGAGAGAGCACCAGGGAAGGGGGAAGGAAGGAGAGAGCACCAGGGAAGGGGGAAGGAAGGAGAGAGCACCAGGGAAGGGGGGAAGGAAGGAGAGAGCACCAGGGAAGGGGGGCAGGAAGGAGAGAGCACCAGGGAAGGGAGGAAGGAAGGAGAGAGCACCAGGGAAGGGGGCAGGAAGGAGAGAGCACCAGGGAAGGGGGGCAGGAAGGAGAGAGCACCAGGGAAGGGGGGCAGGAAGGAGAGAGCACCAGGGAAGGGAGGAAGGAAGGAGAGAGCACCAGGGAAGGGGGGCAGGAAGGAGAGAGCACCAGGGAAGGGGGGCAGGAAGGAGAGAGCACCAGGGAAGGGAGGAAGGAAGGAGAGAGCACCAGGGAAGGGGGGCAGGAAGGAGAGAGCACCAGGGAAGGGGGGCAGGAAGGAGAGAGACACCAGGGAAGGGGGGCAGGAAGGAGAGAGCACCAGGGAAGGGGGGCAGGAAGGAGAGAGCACCAGGGAAGGGGGAAGGAAGGAGAGAGCACCAGGGAAGGGGGACAGGAAGGAGAGAGCACCAGGGAAGGGGGGCAGGAAGGAGAGAGCACCAGGGAAGGGGGAAGGAAGGAGAGAGCACCAGGGAAGGGGAAGGAAGGAGAGAGCACCAGGGAAGGGGGGAAGGAAGGAGAGAGCACCAGGGAAGGGGGGCAGGAAGGAGAGAGCACCAGGGAAGGGAGGAAGGAAGGAGAGAGCACCAGGGAAGGGGGCAGGAAGGAGAGAGCACCAGGGAAGGGGGCAGGAAGGAGAGAGCACCAGGGAAGGGGGAAGGAAGGAGAGAGCACCAGGGAAGGGGGAAGGAAGGAGAGAGCACCAGGGAAGGGGGAAGGAAGGAGAGAGCACCAGGGAAGGGGGAAGGAAGGAGAGAGCACCAGGGAAGGGAGGAAGGAAGGAGAGAGCACCAGGGAAGGGGGAAGGAAGGAGAGAGCACCAGGGAAGGGGGGAAGGAAGGAGAGAGCACCAGGGAAGGGGGACAGGAAGGAGAGAGCACCAGGGAAGGGGGACAGGAAGGAGAGAGCACCAGGGAAGGGGGGCAGGCAGGAGAAAGACACCAGGGAAGCAGGGAAGGAAGGACGAAGGGGTTTGGGGTTTTTACCTCCTTGGCATCTGTGATGCATCTGGGGGCTGAGAGGGGTACCCTCACCCCAACTCCAGTCCTCAGCTACGGTCCTGCTGTCTCTCGCCAAATGGGCAGGAGGGTGGCACTCCCAGAGCCCCTGGGCTTGGAGTTCCCCCAGGAAGAAATAGGAAGGTGAGAACCCGTGAACTGTTCTCATTTCATTTCCTTCCAGAGCCCAGTGTCTGCACCCAGCCCTGCCCTTTTCTGCTCCT